GAATAAGATATTAAAAGCATGGATGCAGAAAAAATGTTTAGAACAAAAACAAACACAAGATGCAAAAATAGATTTATGTTGTGACATCCTTTCTAATAAAGTAAATCAGTATGGTTGTAAAGAAAAACAACAAAGTAAAAAGAAAATTTGGAAAAAAACAAACTTATAAACCCAAATATAAAGAATATTATAAACAAGGGGAAAGAAAATATTTCCGAAATAGAAAACAATATAAACAAAAATATCAATCCAAAACAAATTATTGCCCATCAAATAAAAAAGACTGTAAATGTTGGATATGTCAAGAAGAAGGACACAAAGCTTATGAATGCCCGAAAAAGACTAAAAAGGAAAAAGAAACAAATATATTAAAAATTGCATACGACCTTGGATACGAACCCATAGAAGATTCAGATATAAATTCAGATATAGATATTTATGCATATACAACTGATTCTGATTCAGATGCAGGTACATAATCCTATGGAAAAAGTATTATTAGAATTAGAACTTGAGGGAAACCTCATATCTAACCTATCTGGAATATACATTACTAAAGCATACAATGGTATGAAAGTACCATCTGAAGTAAACAATGATAAAGTATACAGTGATATAATATATCACCAAAAGCATACAGTGATATGAATATATCACCAAAAGCATACAGTGATATGAATATATCACCAAAAGCATACATTGATATGAAAATTATCATATCATCATTTGAAACAAACAAATTTAAGCAATCATTCAGGTACCCAAGAGACGCAAATATTCAATCAACAGATATATCGAAATGGAAGCAATCATGAAACAAATCAAACACCAGTTCAAACAGAAAGAAGATCAAGAAGCATCATTAGTCAAACAACTCGAAGCAGTCAGACGAGAAAAAGAACAACTACGACAAACAATACAAATCTTATCATCTCAATCAGTACCTAAAGAAGAAGCAGCTAGCAGTTCAACAACGAAGCAACCAAAAGAAGACATTCAAGAAATTTCATCTGATGATAGTCAGCCACAAACAATGCCCAAGTCAGAAAAACAACCTATAACACAAAATCCAGAAGAATATCCACCACTTCAAGCAGATCAAAATATAAAGAAATGGTACGTGATTTTCAACGGAGAAAACAAAGGAGTATATGACATTTCTTCGAGTAAATTTACAATTGCTATTTGCCCTGTTATCGCCTATTCGCTTTCTACGAGTAAATTTACAATTTATTTTGATGATTTTTTTCTTATATATTTTTATATTATATATATTATATATATATATATATATATATATATATATATATATATATATATATAATATATATATAATATATATACTAAATCACATGGATGGTTTTAACAGTAATTTTTTTCAATTCATACTTTTTGACATTTTACTTTTATTTGTTTATATTTTTGCCTTAATTTTTCCAAGAATGACGTAAGGCATGACATAAGAAAGAATTATTAAAGAAGACTCCTTTGTTTTCTCCGTTGAAAATCATGTACCATTTCTTTATATTTTGATCTGCTTGAAGTGGTGGATATTCTTCTGGATTTTGTGTTATAGGTTGTTTTTCTGACTTGGGCATTGTTTGTGGCTGACTATCATCGGATGAAATTTCGTGAATGTCTTCTTTTGGTTGCTTCGTTGTTGAACTGCTAGCTGCTTCTTCTTTAGGTACTGATTGAGATGATAAGATTTGTATTGTTTGTCGTAGTTGTTCTTTTTCTCGTCTGACTGCTTCGAGTTGTTTGACTAATGATGCTTCTTGATCTTCTTTCTGTTTGAACTGGTGTTTGATTTGTTTCATGATTGCTTCCATTTCGATATATCTGTTGATTGAATATTTGCGTCTCTTGGGTACCTGAATGATTGCTTAAATTTGTTTGTTTCAAATGATGATATGATAATTTTCATATCAATGTATGCTTTTGGTGATATATTCATATCACTGTATGCTTTTGGTGATATATTCATATCACTGTATACTTTATCATTGTTTACTTCAGATGGTACTTTCATACCATTGTATGCTTTAGCAATGTATATTCCAGATAGGTTAGATATGAGGTTTCCCTCAAGTTCTAATTCTAATAATACTTTTTCCATAGGATTATGTACCTGCATCTGAATCAGAATCAGTTGTATATGCATAAATATCTATATCTGAATTTATATCTGAATCTTCTATGGGTTCGTATCCAAGGTCGTATGCAATTTTTAATATATTTGTTTCTTTTTCCTTTTTAGTCTTTTTCGGGCATTCATAAGCTTTGTGTCATTCTTCTTGACATATCCAACATTTACAGTCTTTTTTATTTGATGGGCAATAATTTGTTTTGGATTGATATTTTTGTTTATATTGTTTTCTATTTCGGAAATATTTTCTTTCCCCTTGTTTATAATATTCTTTATATTTGGGTTTATAAGTTTGTTTTTCCAAATTTTCTTTTTACTTTGTTGTTTTTCTTTACAACCATACTGATTTACTTTATTAGAAAGGATGTCACAACATAAATCTATTTTTGCATCTTGTGTTGTTTTTTGTTCTAAACATTTTTTCTGCATCCATGCTTTTAATATCTTATTCGTGCTCCTAGAGTGTCTGCAATTTTATTTTGTTGTAATGCTTCTTGGAAATCTTTTATTACACTTTGGCTTACTGATGATGGTAGTTTTTGATAGAACATATCTAACGCTGCCTTTTTTCTAGTGGGATCTAAATTATAATAATGTTCGGAATATTCGCATATAAATGGTTTTAGATAACACATATTACAAATTCGTAGATTAGTTAGATGCCATAATGATTCTAATTGAAAAGCTTCTTTTGATATTTTATCTTCAATTTGTTTTCCTATGAATTCCTGAATAAGACGGCTTAATACATTTTTAAATGTTTCCATAGCATCAGTGGTAGCTATCATCATTGTTTCGGTTTCATCAAGAGATGAAAGAAAACGATATGCGTTACCTTGTGTTTTATGAATGATATAATTAAGAAAATGTTTTGGGTGTAAATTTCTTAATTCTTCGGTTAACTGAATTTGTACTCCCATTTTATTACTCCATTCTTGAATTTTTGCTTCAGGATTTTGGTCACAATCAATAAAAAGAATATCTGAATTTGTTGGAAATGTAAATAACTTAGGTATGTATTGAGGAGGTATTTTTTCCCATTTATTTTGTTTATTTTTAACCATTCCTTGTCTATATAAAAAATTTTTCTTCTAATGAAGGTGGTCTATAAATATATTGACTTTGATAATCATCTTCAACATAGGATTGTTTTCGTTTTAATCCAAAATTGTTTTGTGAATCTCTATATGGATTTGAATAAGGGTTTTCATCATTTGAAGAAAAATCATATATTACTTCTGCGTCATTATTATCTGAATTATTTTCTATTTCTATATTATTTTCTTGAGTTTCAGATGGTATTTCTAATGCTGCAAATAATTTAGTCAGTGTTTCTACTTTTTCTTGTAAAGTTTTCATATATAAATTTTTTTTTTGTTTCTTTTCCTTAGTGAAGTAGTTATTATTAATGCTTTTTCTATTTTTTAAACATATTTAACAAATTAATTTTGTTATCTTGTTTTCAAGGTTTTTTATTTGTTCTTGTTTCCAATTGATACTATTATTTATTATATGTATTGCTTCAATATTGGATATACAATTTATTATTGATATGTTAGAATCTATTCTTAAATCTAAAAGAAATTTTTTAGATTGTTTCAATGTTTTACGAAAAATTTTAATTCTTGTTTATTTGTATCTAGGCTTGAAAAACTCATGATTATAATTTTATAATAACAATAGTTTAGTTTCGTTTTAGATTTAAAGTTGCGATTAAAATTTATTTAAAAATAATAGTGGTAATAATAATGTTTAAAAGACATACGTTTTAAAATACAAATAGTTTTGTTTTTAGACGACGTATTTGCTTGTAACGGATTTTAATACTAGTTCTTATGAAATATCTAACATCATGAATATGGTTATTGTTTAAAATCGTACCTTGATTATTAGGTTTGTAATAATCCTTGAAATTTTTCTTAGAATTATTTATAGATTCTTGGATTTGTTGTATTCTTAAAATAATATTTTTATTAGGAATACAATTCATCAGAATTTTGTTAGACATAAATATATATTTCAAGCATGAATTTGATTAATTTGATTATTAAGAACGAGTATTATAAAAATTTCAAATTTTGTAGAATTAATAGTTAAAACAACTCGAAATGATACTATCATTAAGAAATAAAAGTAATCTAACAATTGAAAATATCTTGAGACATATTTATGGTATTAAATCTTCTTACGATAAATATTTTAATTGTTGATAACTTTTTTAAATATGAATATTTAAAAACAATGATTATTCATTATCATGTTTATGATGCTGCATATGTATATTTTCTTATTAACGATAGATTGAATATGCAAACTAATAATAAGAATAATAAGAACGTTACTTAGCTCTGATACCAAATTGAAAAACATGACGGAATTAATATAATTAGGATAGAATTGTACCTGAATGATGCGTCAGAATGGATTGACGATGGATTGTTTGGGTATGATATGATTATATTGGATATGTTTGGATAGGGTTCTGCTATTCAGAAATAGAAAACTATTTCAACAGAAGAAGATTGAGAACAACTCAAATCTATATCACAAATCACTCTGCTTTATTCACTAAGGGCAAAGCCCTTTATATAGGCTCCAAAGAGCTAATTACACACGGAATCTTTACATTATTGCAATCGTTTGATTGCAAGAAGACAAACTACTTTACATAAGACTTTATGTCACATATATAATAATACTACACACTTACCGACACTTTTACATTATTAAATAAAGACAAGCTATAATCGTTATTTTCAACAATGTGTCTTCTTTAATAATTCTTTCTTATGTCATGCCTTACGTCATTCTTGGAAAAATTAAGACAAAAATATAAACAAATAAAAGTAAAATGTCAAAAAGTATGAATTGAAAAAAATTACTGTTAAAACCATCAATGTGATTTAGTATATATATATATATATATATATATATATATATATATATAATATAAAAATATATAAGAAAAAAATCATCAAAATAAATTGTAAATTTACTCGTAGAAAGCGAATAGGCGATAACAGGGCAAATAGTGTTGTCGTACCGCCTCTCATTTCTCACCGTAAATTGTCGCACAAGTTTTCGTGAACCACGACAGCCGATCTCTCCGTCGCATGTCGCCGTCGGTTCTCCGTGCAGACCTGCGTTGCTGCGCTTTTCTACAATCGACTTAAACTTGAGGTATTCCTCCCTACTCCTTTCAATTTCTTACTATTAAGATTATATCTTGTTTGTGTGCATATATAGCGATTTATCGTTTGCAGTATTAGCGCGCCAATATATAATATGTTCGTAAAATTTCGTTCAGCGTGTCCCAGTCTCTTGTGTATAGTTGCTGTGTTACTGTATTGATGTGTGTTGAAACCCTAACGGAGCAAATTTTTGGGGGCGATGATCTAAAATTTTACATATTAACAATATCTTGATTTAATTATCACGTCTTGTTGTGTTGTACATTGGAACCCTAATCGATGAACTGTGGGGTAGGTTTTTTATTCCGATCATCCTTTTTAAGAGGTCATCCATTAAACTAGAGCTTTGAGCACTACAAATGGTCATCAGGTTTCACTCTGTTTTTACTATCATCCAACGCCATTGCTCTCCTAGTCTCCTTGAATCTTGATTATTTTTTCAGTATTCAGAACCTTCCGGAATACTTTCAGAAATTCAAGTAGTCATAACATGACCATTATAGGCACTCCTCTAATCTAAATTGTGAGCTTTGTGTTAAAATCATTGTGAGCTTTGTGTTAAAATCATTGTTTCACTCCCTTTATAAGATAAAAGCAATCCTTTCCTAAAATAAATTGGATCAAGATCGAAATGATGAGATGCAGGTGAAAGTGAAATGAAGACCAGAGGCTCATGCCTTGTTAGTCATTTTGAGATGACTTTATAAAAGATTCCTTCCCAAAACTTATTTACAGTGGATATCTCAATTAAATGCAACATACAAAACACATACGCTTTATAAGTTCATATAGTTATCCATATCAAACTAATAATGAGATTCTTATAATGTTTGGAATCGAGAGTATATATCTATCATGCTTTTTATGTAAAAGAATAACATACTTTTGGTAGAAGTACATTTTCTGTTTCTCTCTTATTTACAAATATACACTATCCTTGTTGGTTATTATGTGATGTCCACTTTTGTTTTTTGACCTCTTAGTTAACAATTATACTTTCAACATGAATGTAGAATGACGATACCTATATTATACAAGATGATAACACTAATGACTAATAATAGCTCATCAATCCAGTTGTATAACATAGTATACATTTAGTGTGCAGTGTTATTTTGAAATAATATATTTGTGTTGTCGTTTTGTGCATTGAATTAGTAAACGATGATTACATGATTCTATTTTGTCGTGCTAAAATAAATGTATGATTTTTTTATATATTTTTCTTGCTCTATAAAAATGGAGTGCGCCACATTTCACATGCTATGTTTTTTTTTTGTTGACGCCATGCTATGTGCGTCATTTAAGTTGTTATAGAATGTCTCTTGCCACTCAAATCATTTATAGTTGAGTGGCATATCTGGTAATTAGTGTCAACTTTAATGACAAACTCATGTATTACTAGGGAAATGAAATCGGTTCCATCACTTTTAAAGATTTTATCTATAATAGCTCCTACTCCGTCTCTCCCTTTCTTTCCTTTGCACAAAATTTTAATCTTTTTCTACTTTTTTTTTTAACCTTTTCACCTATTTACTTGGTTTCTTAGATATATTAAATATTCACTATTCTATTTAGGTTACCAACTATGTGCTAATTTCCTTAGAAAGAATCGTGCATAACAGACTCTCAAAGCAATTATATCAGCATCTGTATTCTTTGAACATATCAGACATCTTGAACCTTGCTAATTTTAACACCACATCAATGTTCTTTGTAGTGGTAGGGTAAAGTAAAACCTAGAGGGATGACATGTTTTCATATTTGCTCAAAGCTTGCTAATCCCATACCAAAATGCGGTAAGGGGAGGTTAGATATAGATAGCCTTACCTCCACCCAAGATGAGCATGTCAAAAAGGGTGGTGGTGGATATAGAAAAGTAGGTATTAGTGTAAACTAGGTAACTAGTTTACACTAGTTACCTAATATTAGTGGATATAGAGAGTATACTGTAAACTAGGTAACTAAGACCTATACTAGGTTATCCTAATTTTAAGTTGCCACACCTTCTTTATCTGAGGTCATGTGAAAAAATCATGATACTTCCCACTGAATATGCATCACAATATAATTTATTTTGTTAAATGATTATTTTGTCCCTACACAGATTGTATTTGTATGAAACACACGACTTTTTTATCTGAGTTCACATGGACCAAAATTGTTAGAGGTTTTGGTCTTCAAGGGCCAGAAAGGAAGTTTTTCAAATCAGTGTCCGAAGACTGAGAAGCATATTTGTAATCCAGTCTTTTGTTTGCATTGTTTTGGTAAAAAAAATAATTCCTCAAAAAGAAATAAAACGAAAACACTGATTGGGTGGTGTTTTCAGTTCCACTGAGATTGCACTAGTAACACTTTCTATACAAGATACAACTGCAGGTAGATTCACTCTATTCTTGGTGGCTTATGAAGGATCGAAATCAGTTATGTTATATGAATTTCATGCCAGATATGCTCAGTTTCCTTTTTATTGATAAAACAAGGTCAGGAAATATAATTATCTTTTAGTTTCCTTCTTATTTTAACTTTATGTTTTGAAATTTGAATCTTTGTTCATTTATTGTTGTTGTTTTTGCAGATTATAAAGTCAGTTGATTACCAAACCAATCATGAAGTTGCGACTAAGATCCTTTGAAACCAAAGAAACCCTTAAACTTGAAGTCCCTAATCCTTGCACTCTCCACCATCTTACACAACTCCTCTCTCAAAAACTCCCTTCTTCTTCTTCTTCTTCTTCTTCTGCTATATATTTCTCTCTCAACCAAAAAGACAACCTTACAACTTCTTCCCCTGAAGATTCTATTCAGTCAATCGGAATCACATCTGGTGATCTCATCTACTTCACCACAAACCCTAATGGATTTTCCACTTTCTCCCCTGTCTCTCCACCACCACCACCACCCAAATCAGAACAATCTCAACATTCCCAAACTTCAAATCCCAATTCCGGTAACCCAGACGAAACCCTTAATCCCAATCCAGAAGAGACTGAAGACTCTATGGAAATAGACGATGATGGGAATTCCGTTTCCGAACCCGGAAAGTCCTTTTCCGTTCCGGGTTTTCTAAGGAAAGTTTTCACCGAGGAACTCGGCAATGACAACGGTCTCAATCACAAGCTTTTAGCAATAGCAGTTCGCGCCGTGTTACTGGAATCCGGGTTTCTAGAGATCGATCCCGTTTCAAAGACATTAAAAGGTAGTAATAACTTCGACATTCAACGGAATTGGCATCTCGCTTCATTCCACTTCACTCTTCTCGACCTCATCACCACCGGAAACATCGAATCCGTCAAGATCAAATTCCAAAGCCTCGGAAAGTACTGCAAAGTTTACGGGTCTTTAGCAAATGGAATCGTGCATTCTGTTCTCTTGGACGAAGACAAACTGGTTCCATTTCTGAACGTGGTGTGGGCTAACTGCGGAAAAGTAGTCGAAACCATGGGAGACAACAACCGCGTATCAACTGTGGAACCAGAACGAGAAGTTTTCGAGTTTTGGAGGAAAACAAAGGACGGAATCGCGATTCCGCTTTTAATTGATTTATGCGAGAAAACCGGTTTGGAACTCCCGCCTTGCTTCATTCAACTTCCAACAGAACTGAAACTGAAGATTTTGGATTCCGTTTCCGGTGTTGATGTTGCAAATATGAGCTGTGTATGTTCGGAATTGCGATACCTGGCATCTAGCGATGAGCTCTGGAAACAAAAGTATGTTGCTGAATTTGGGGATTGTAAAGGGTTGGGGAGTTTTAAAGAGAGATTTGCAAAGTCTATGGAAAGTCGGAAAAGGATGAGGAGGGCTAGTGGGAGTAGGAGTGGAAGATCGGGTGTGAATTTGATGAGGATAAGGAATCCTTATGGTCGATTTGGTCCTCCTGGTTATTTTCCACCAATAAGAGGCGGAGATCATGACATATGGATGAATGTGAATGTTGGTAATGGAGTTCCCAGACTCAGGAATATGAATGTCATTCCGAATTGTAATTTGGAGTTCTAGTTTCAGTTTCAGTCAGCTGTTTATGGAGTGATTACGTGAAGGAAATGTTATGTTTGCTGTGTTAATTGATAAGTATTTTATAATTACTAAACGGAATTTTAAATTGGAAAGTTACAATTGTCGTACTTTATCATCTTTGAAAGTCTCAATAATAAAAATTTGGGAGTTGTTTGAACGGGTAAGACTATGTTTTTTTTTTTTATCGGGGGCTTTGAGCCAATCGATTATGGAGAAGCAAGATAGGAAAAAGTCAAATATAACAATTTGGTTCATAAAAATTGACATTATAATCGATTTTGTTTTTATATATTTTTTTTATTTAATTAAGTCATAAAATTATATATATTTTGGTCATTTTTATCCAGTTAATAGGTCATCCAACTTTCAAATATTATATTTTTGGTATAAATTTGGTTTAAATTTTAGAATGACCGAGATTTTAAAACCTACTATGTCAAGACTTTTGTGGGGAGGGGCTATTTCTGTCATGATGTTAAAATAGAGGGATCAAATATGTGAAACTCAGAATTTCCTCCATGTAACTCGATCGAGATTTTTGGCAAGCCTCGTACGTGATTTGTTGGGCTTCAATCCAACACAAGCATTTATCCCTCACAACATTTACCCTAATCGAGAATTATACGTGGGATCAGAAGAATCCTTCGGTTTTGGGCTGCGATGCAGGAAGAAAAAACACGGGAAAAGAGTCACCGGAAGTTGCAGGTTCGCCGGAAAACCTATTGCTGTAGCGGGACCTTGCACCGGAGAGGGAGTGCGGATGGATTGAGTGATCATTGATTGTAAGCAATTCCTTTCGATTTCCTTTCTTCTTTCTTTTCTTCTGATTTCTGCCGGAGACTGCCACCACCGCCACCGGCAGCCTCCTACTGCCACCACCGGCCACCCAATTGTGGCTGTATGTGTGCGTGATTTTTTGTGTGTGTGTATCCGGTTCGGACATGCTGCCTTTCTTTTTCTATAAATGGGAGTTTGGTTGTTTTGGTTTGTCACCGCCCTAAACCACCGCAAGACCACCACCGGCAGCCTCATGCTGCCAGAGTCTTCTTTCCAGCAACACCACAGTCCACCGTGCAAGGGTGGCTGTGGGTTACCTTGCCTAGATCAAATGCTAGGATTAAAGGTCAATAAAATATATACCATCTCCTTTAAATGATTTAAATAGCAACGTATTTTTCATTGTGGTGGTTTGACCACTGTTGGCCACCATAGCACCACCACTGGACCACCATGACGTGGGTGGCCCTAATTACATTCTTTTCCAACTGTAGGATTAAGATTTAATGTTTAATGGGTTAAGTTGCACACTTAACCCTAATATAAAGTAGTGAATTTATGTTAAAAAGTCCTTAGTTTCAAGCTCTTGTTAAGCCATGCTCTTAAGCCCTTAAGCCATGTTATTTCACACATCTTAATGACTTAACATATGACCTATTAATCTATTGAAAATTGTAAAGTTGAAGCTTAAGTATTAAGTACATAAGCACACACAATTTTGTATAAATATGATTTTATACTGCAAAAAAAACGTATTCGATTTTTTTTTCCAGAAAAAGATGTAAAAAAACTAAATTTTTGATGAATTTGTAATTTTTTTTGAAATATGGGCCAAAGGTGTAAATTTTAGACAAAATTTGTAATGAAATGTAAAATCTAAACAAAAATGTAATTTTTGAAAGTGTGATGACCTGTTGACCGGTTTTTGGGACTTAATTTAACAAGAAAAAAATATAAAGACTAAATCGACTATGAGACCAAAACATAGAGACTTTTAAAGAGTTTTCCACAAAATGACCAAAAATTGGATGACAATTTATATACCGTGATCATGCCTCTTGGTGGTTATTTTATTTTTGGGATAATGACTTAAAAAGGTAATATATTTTTCGATTTGTACACATTTGGTCATTAAGTTTTTTTTTTTCGTCCACATTTACCCCTTAAACTTGTTAAACTGTACACATTCAGTCCTTATGACTGGTTACTCCAGGTTAGCCGGGAAAATGACTTAATAGGGTAATATATTTCTCATTTTGTACACATTTAATCCTTACTATTTTGTACACATTCAGTCCTTAATATTTTTTTGTTTCAAAATAAGTCATTTTTGTTTTTGTACTCATTCAGTACTTATTAATGATTTCTTTAGGTTTTTTTCACGACATCTTACGTGGGACAATCATTGATGAAGTGTGTGAGACTGTTGATGTTTATGTGTAACGTCTCATTTTCACAACAAAAAATTTTCATTTTTAAATAAGACAAAACTCCCTAATTATAAATCCATGATTAAGAAAAAACATTTATTCCAAAATACATTTATCAAAAATCAGAGTAATATAAGAAATCCGAAATCCTCAATACTGTTGATGAGTGTGTATAGTCATGTCTTCGCCTCCCCACGATCAACGATAGAACCTGAAAACATAAACAACTGGGTAAACACAAAGTTTAGAGAGTTTTCCACAAAATACCCGATACAACAAATGTATTATCATGTATAACGGGCCCACACTCATCAGATTGGAATATCTTGGCCCAATCAGTCATCCGACTGGAATGCCAACACGCAACAGGTCCAATCAGTCATCAGACTGGAATACACAGGGTTTGTCGGCATGCCGCCTTAACCCAACCGCTCTTCTCGAGCCTCCGTGCCTACGTCTTACAGCCGGCCCGCACCAGGTATTTTAGCCTACAACATATAGCAGGACCACCTCAACCTATCCCGCCACCATATGGCTATCCCACGTAAGATGTTGTAAGAAAAACCTAAAGAAATAATTTATACGTACTGAATGAGTACAAAAATAAAAATGACTTATTTTGCAACAAAAAAAAATATTAAGGAGTAAATGTGTACAAAAATATTAATGACTAAATATGTACAAAGTGATAAATATATTACCTTATTAAGTAATTTTTACTGGCTAACCTGGAGTAGCCGGTCATAAGGAAAAATATGTACAGTTTAACAAGTTGAAGGGGTAAATATGGACGAAAAAAAAAGTCAGTGACTAAATGTGTCCAAATCAAAAAATATATGACCATTTTAAGTCATTATCCCTTTATTTTTTGCCATGCTTTTAAACTTTAAAATTAATATATTATACATTATGTTTGTTAAAAAAAATTAATAACTAATATATAATATAAAACTCACTAAAAAGTAAAATATTTATATATTTTAAATATACAAATGAAACTGACTCATATATTATATTTTTTATTAAAGTTGTTGATAAATGATGAAATTATTGAATTCATATATATATATATATATATATATATATATATATATATATATATATATATATATATATGGAGAGAGAGAGAGAGAGAGAGAGAGAGAGAGAGAGAGAGAGAGAGAGAGAGAGAGAGGATCATGTATAACCAATATATATTGTATGAATGTATGACCAAATGTTATAAAATCAAAATCCTTTTAGAAGGGAATTAAAGTATTTTTTATAAATTAACTCTTAACTAATAAATTTGAATGTGTTGAATGAAAGTGGTTTCCTAAAATATCTTATTTAATTTGAATATGTTGAATAAAATCTAAGATTTTATTTAATTTTTATTAATTAATTTGAATTAGTTGTCTAAAATATAGATAATATTAAATTTCTCTCTCTTAATAAAATATGATATTTGGTCATATAATTAATGAAGTCAAATTATATAGTAAATGCTAGTACATGGTAATATCATGTATCCTAATATCATAACCATTCATATTTTTTAATCTAATGGTTAAAATTTGGTCACATATTCGTACAATAATTGTAATTCACATCTGATCTTAACCCTATATATATATATATATATATATATATATATATATATATATATATATATATATTATATATATATATATATATGGGTAAATTACACAAATCGTCCCTCGTACACATGCCAGAAAGCGTGTTTAGTCCCTATTTTAAAAAATTAACTCGGACCGTCCCTCGTTTGTTTAAAAGTTGCACACTCCGTTCCTGATACGTGGTTTTATTGCAAATCTAGTCCATACTAGATCTGAAATGACCATAATGCCATTTATTTATTTATTTTCTAATTATTTTTGATTTATTTAGTATTATAAATTATTTATTTATTTATTTATTTATTTTCTAATTATAAATTATATTTAGAATAAAAAATAACGGTCCTTCCCCTTATTTATCTGTTCTCTCATTAAACCTCACCCTCACATTCTAGGATTCCGACGAGCCATCAAACCCTCAGCCTCCAACATTTTAGCGACGTTCAGTTCAACAATTTCCGACATATATGGAGGTAGTTTAAAACGATCGGGTCGATGGGAAGGAGGAAGGTTCTGGTGTCTAGATCATCTTTTCCCACCTCCACACTCCATCTGATGAACACCCTTCTAGCAACACGAAGAACTCCCCCATCACAAATTTATGTTTCCGATGAGAGGCAAAGAGGAGATCGGAGGAAACGGGTGAAGGTTTAGTCTCTGAAAGATGCCCTTCCCAATTGTTTCACTGAGCAGCTTATCCCCATTTCTTCGTTTCCCCTTCTCCATCCTTCCTAAATCGATTTTGATTTTGTGTTTCTGGTTGATTTGGTTTGATTTGGTTTCGATAGATTCTTCTGGAAACACACACTTGTATTAGTTCAACCCTTAAGCATATATGAATTTACCAAATCTGGAAATATCACCACCATGGATTTCCCTCTCCTGTTAAAGAACTATGATGGTTCATCACATGATATCAGAGTTGGTGAGGGTGGCAGTGATGGGGTTTTCGTTGGAGATGATAGTGATGATGGCAAAGTTGGTGATGGTGGCAGTGATGGGGTTTTCGTTGTCATAGGAATCGAGTGAGAAAAAAGGAGATGAAGGTAGAAGAAATTTTATGTTTTATTCGACCTTCAGATCGAGGAAGAAATGGAAGGGGGAAGGGTGGGGGTATTTTTTGTTTATTCTTATTTTTTAATAAAAAAATTATATA